AACGCTGCACAAAGTTGCTTTCCGAGGAAGACGACGCTCATAAAAAGAGCATCCACGTTCCTCTCCACTTCCACACTCGGTATGTCCCCTGCCATGCCGTTCGACCGGTACCCCCAAACGCAGGTCTATAGAATCAGGCAGTCTGGTCAGGCTGCCTGCCTTCCTGAGCCACTTGTAGCTCCAGCGCTGCGGAGAGCCCGTTCATTCGTGGAGGCTGGTGGCAGCTGTCATCGTCCAATTAACGTTTTTAGGACAGAACTCAGTATTTCATGTGCAGTCCCTCCCCCTCCCTCACGCCCCCCGCAATGAGGAGCACCCAGCATCAATAGAAAGAATTTTCGTGTTTATTTAGATCGGGGGAAAATCAAGGAAGGGCTTCCAACGACGAGGGATCGACTCTGACTGCCGCCCTCCGCGACGAGCTCCATCCAGGAATTCTGAAGTTGACCTGCGCCTCAGGCTCTAGTCGGCTCAATTACGAACTGGAGAAAAGCGGCATGGCTGCGTAATACTCACGGCGCTTCTAACGAGCGTCGCTCGCTGAGCGGATTGTGGCGTTCTAGGAAAAGTTCTTGAGCGTGGCATGCGGCACGAAACTGCGTGGTACGAGCGTTCCTCTTTTGATCAACTCTAATCATACCGAGCTGCTGGAATTCAGGAAGAGCGATTCCGTCGCTGTCGATTACACGATCGACCTCCCAGCCGGGCTGATGTTCGGTTCAGAATGAGCTGTTGTTACCATTGACGGCCGACTCTCTGTTTCCCGCGGCAGCGCTCCTCCGGGGGACAGCGGCACGGCTGGCACGTAATCCTCCGTTGACCGGGACGTGTCTGCAAGACACCCAATCGCTAGGGAATTCGAACACGACTCGCAAAGCCCGATGAACCATTCGAACGGAACAGATGAGCGCCGAAACTTCATTTTTCTCTTCCTCAATAATTTCGCTTCCTCCTCCACGTCTCTCGGAATCCTTCCGCGTGAGCGCGTACTTGAATGAGTGCTTGGATTCTCAAGGACACTGCTCGAGCTGGAATCGAGGTAGCCTCGATGAAATTAACGAAGAAGCGACGAGATCCTCCTCGATGATTAGTCAGATCAGAAGTCTATTTGCGATTTTACCGAACGAGATTTCCGGAGAGATCATGGTACAGCATGTTCAATCGTGCGTGCGCTTCCCGATCTCATCTCGAGAAGATTCTGTCGCCCACCGTCACATCCAAGCCCGAAGTACCTCTCGTCCGTGAGCGAATATCCGCGAGATCTTTCCGAAGGGAGCCGCATCGTTCGCAGATCGGGAGTCGTCTCTCCTTCCATGCTCTAGAAAGCTGGAGCAGAAAGCTCTTCTGGAGACGGGGGAACCTCCGACGGGCATCCCGATATCTCCTTCCATGTTTCGTCAGTGGTGAAACATTTCTACAGCAGGTTCGGTCGAGTGCTGTCTGCGATATTAATCACGAAAAAATGCTTGCTCAGTCTGTAGCGAGGGGATGTGGGACTGTCGGGAACGACTCCCATTTGTAGGTATGTACACGAAGAGGCGTCTAGTCGTAGCAAAGGATGGTCGACGGATCCCGCGATTTATTTCAGTGACATACGTCAGAAAGAGCAATGGCTAGCTGGGTTATAGCGACTGGAATGGAATCCACTGGCTCAAGCATTGATTCCGTCTCCTGTACCAGACACTCGTCGCTCGCTTCACGCACGAGTTTTGTTCCTCTCTTACTATCCTGTCACATCCGGATTAGCATAACGATAGTTGCGGAAGATTATTCAAATTTCTCAAGACGCCAGTCAAGTATCTCGATGAAAACGGTACTCCTTCTGCTACCCTCCCTCCAATGCAAGGCATTGTTCAGAGAATCGTTCGCCAAAGTTATATCGGCCGACCTTATGCATGCGGTCTGATCAGAGAGCTTTGGAAAGTTCTGCGGAGATCGTCAACGAAACTGAAAGGAATATTCAATGCCCTCAACGATGATTGCGGGAGCTGTGAATCATCGACGTTGGAGCCTGGTAAGTGTTCCGAAGTCCGAGCGAGCCTTTAGCCGCATTCTTAGATTCGAGGAGGTCCAACTTCGTCGACGAAATGACCTCTTCTGAAGAGTGAGGGCGACTGATGTTCTCCCTTGCGAGACCAGTTCCGGTCGAGATTCGGGAGACACCAAGGCCTCTATTTTCGAGGCGTCACTGTCGGGATCTTCTCTATCGACGGGCTCATGAGCTGCTTTAGTGAATTTGATATTGTTCGAGGAGTCTGGTGCGCTGCCCTTGCACGAGCGAGTCCAGTCGCTGTATTATGATGGCCTGGAGCGAACGCTGCCCACGTCAGTCAGCGTGACATCCTACCGGTCTTTCAGCGAAAAAAAATCGCCGGTAGACAATGGCAACTATTTAAGACCCGCCGCGCCTAGGTCCTCCCGCTTCGATAGCCAGCTGTGAAGATTCTGACTCGGGAACGCTCCAAAACCCAAGTGCGATTGAAAGCATTGAGGTACATTGAGGGGATCGTTGGAGCGCTCGAGATGACCCTGTCGTGCTTCAAACCGGTACTTCGGGTAATTTCCCTATCCTCAAATATAAGTATAGGGAGCTTTGCATGAGGCGGGAGGTCAGCGCTGAAGAGCAGGAAGAAAGGAAGAGGAGCGACAGACGACTGGCGAGTCTAAATTCAAAAGACTTGTCCTCTACCCGTGGTTCGCACAGTTCAGTCCCTTCAAGATATCCACGGAACTCACGAGGAGCTCGATCTCTGGGAGGGCTCCATTTCTGATGCCTGCCGAAAATCGTATTTTTTCGACTGAACCTCATAGCGGATGGCAGAACATCCCGCTTCAAGAGTTGTTTCCATCTTAGCATCCCTGAGAGAGTCTGATGAGACGGGACCCGGATCCTTCACTTTTCCTCGAGCTGAGTTCTCTCGCGGGAAACCCTGGCGGAGTCTCACATGGGGAGCCCGACGGAAACTCCCATCGATCACCCCAGCAGCCGTCCTGGCACGCGCGGGTCGTGAAGTGAAGAGAACCCCCTGTCCACGAAGCTACTGACCGGCTGAGCGTTCGGTTGGTGTTTCCGACGGAGTTTTCTTGAAGCTGGCCATAATGGGGAGCTTAGAATAGATTCATTGGGATTCTTGTCGAATTCCATCAATTTTCAGCATGACCTGAATTATTCTCTTCCACAGGGAAGCCTCTACTGATCGAAGCCTCCCTCCACTGATCGGGCTCGTGAGGATAGCATAACACGTCGACTATTATGTGGATGTACTTGTCCTCGACTGATATAGCTTAGTTTCCGTCGGGAGCTATGTGAAAGTGCAACCTGCAAAATAGTTGAGTGACCTCCAGCCTTCAGTCTACCAAGAATAAAGCAAAGTGTGCTCCATCCTTCCGAAGCTATACGCAGATGGGGGACATCCCGCTCGCCTCCGTTACGCCACCGCGGACATCCGGCAGGAGTCGGATGAAGTTGACGGGCACGTAACATGATGAATATGTCTCGACGTCGCTCGTGTATCCCAAGCCCATTGGCGAATGGATTTATCGTGTCTCGCCCGTCTGAAAATGAACGCTTGAATGCGCCCGAGTAAAGATGACGAATTGCCTGCCCTGTTGGGAATCAAGCTCGCATACTCAAGTGCGCAATTGGAGTGATCGGCGTCTGGGTATTACCTGCTCAGATGGATGGAAAAGGTGATTGATAGATGAGACAGGTTCGCTTCCTTTCTAACTGCACAATTGCTTTATTGTTGTTTCAGAGGTACGAGCATCACTCGATCGATACCTTGGTTCCTTGAGCTTTCCGGAGACTACTCTCTCTGGATCTGGATTTTTGTACTTCACGGGGAATCGACTGACAACCTGAGTCGCGCTCCACTCCTCAGTCAGATCAGCAGCCGCGATTGTCCCCACTCATTAAAGCAAATCAAAAGAGCTCCTCAAGAAAAACTCGGTTACAGCAGCTCCGAGCTTTTGGCACGACATTACGTGGCAACAAACTGAGGTCCCCGAATGGCGTACAACTGTCTACAGAGTCGATCCTGAGCTTATAACATCAGCGATTCATAGAGGGAAGACAAGTTCTCAAATACGTCGAGTTTCCTCACAACATTTACCTAGTTTTTGTCTAAATTTCGCTCGGATACGTTGATCAGGATTCTGTGTGCCGCTCGGCTTTCTCTCTCAGCTTGCGATTCTAGTGTTGCGGAGTTACTTCAGGAACTCCCGTACTCTCCTCGCAGGCGTTCAACAGAGGCTCTTACAAAAGCTTTCCTCCGACATTATGGCGTGTTCATCGTCTGCACCTCGTTGACAAGTTTCAATTGAAACTATTAAATAGTAACGCAGGTCTGACAGATTAACAGATAATGGCACACGTCCATCATCAGTTATTGGTATCTATCGCTTCGTGTATCGTATTTTCTCGCCCACAGAGACGTACAAGATATCTGCAGATAGAAGTTCCGAAGAAATTTCATTGTCCGAACCGTGACCGACCAAACGAACTGGATAGTTTAGATGGAGCCGCTGAATGGTACGCGGATCCTCAGCGTACCCTCTGGAGGATCGAGTCTCCGGAGAGCTCTTTCTTCCGGTTGCCAGCTCTCACTTCTTTGCGGCAGCCGTTCCAGCTCCTATTGCGCTCCGTCTTTCTGTTTCCACCGTTCCTTATTTTCCAGCGGCTGCTGCTGGTGCCATCGTTTCTTATGCGTTCTTGACTACTTCCTCCTCACTTACTCCACAAGTGCGACTGGTGGTGCCGCGTGTGGTGCCGAGTAGGGAATATTAATAACACTCGACCTTTCTTCGAGATTCTCAACCACTCTGCTTGAAAGCGTTGACAGATTTCTCGACACGTGCAGAGCGTCGGCGATGACGGACAGCATCAGGAAATTTCATCGTCGAATTTCTCTTTGCATTCTGATTCGATACTTCCATCCGCCAAGGCGGAACTCCTTGATGATTCAAGCATGGTGGTGCTGAGTTCGATTCCTCTCACTCCGTTCGAAAATCATCGTGAATTCCCGATCAAATCGTGTATTATCCATTTGATCTTTGCCTTGTTTCCTTCTCAGCTACAGAGAAAAATGTTGGCTGATTTGGGCGTTTCTCCTCGAGTAGTGTGGCTGGCGGAGCTTCTCCCCAATGTTATTGTGCAGCATAGTCGGATGGAGGACAAGCTCTAGTGAAACGTATGCAGGATATCTTGTCCTCCTCTCCTTCTCGGCAGTCGTATTCGTCGTCGCAAGCTCACCAGCCAGCCGAACAGCCATCCTACTCTCACTCCCAATTCTGCTACACTTTGCCGTCATCGACGTCTCCGTAGAGACTCTCGCGCCGTCTTCCAGTTTCTCCGTAGATTTGCATGCCGACTTCTTCATCGCCAATCTCGTAAGCGTGGTTGACCCTTTCGGCGCCGTTTCCGAACAGATTTTCAGCTTTCTCTCGGTACCTGCGAATGAAAGCTTATCAATGAGAATGTGGGTAGGGGGGCAATCGAATATCAGACGGACGTGTAATCACGTCGACGGGCACGGTAGGCCGAAAAACTTCGCCCGCATTCGGAAAGACAAAGGAGGAAGCGAGGGTTTAAGCCGGTAGATGCGATCGCGCTAATAGTTATCCGATATCGCTCATTTCAGCCGCAGAAGAGGAGTGTGCGGTATTCTAGTCTTGCCGCCCTCCCTGCCTCCATTGGTGCCGCCAAGCTCACACGGAAGTCGGCCGATTGCCTGGCAGAAACGGGCAGGGAGGAGAGAGACCGAGCGCGAGACGCAAGCCGTCGGCGTCGTTTCCTCGGCACTTCCGCCCGCAGTCGTACCCCCGAGCCGGGAGCCCGACTGCTCGTCTGCGAGTCAGCTTGCCTGCCTGCCACCAACCCTCGTTAACGCTTCTGTTTTCCGTTCAGAGCTCGTCGACGCTGTCCGCAGCGCCGCTCATCGCCGGAATCATTGAAGCATCTCACGCATCCTGGGCAATCATGATCAGAATCCGGAACACATAGCGAGATCGAGCAGGCATCGGGCCACGTCTAAGACGGCGAGGGCAGCAGTGCCAGCCTTCCTTGCCCCATAAAATTGGGATTCTCTGCGATTAGGAATAAAAATGACTCAATTGTTCTTAGGTACATGTCAGGAGTCATGGATGCTTGAGTCGCGTAGCGCTCGCTGATGCTTCACCAATCATCGACACTGGGAATTCAGCGGAAAAAAACGCTCATGGAGAAAGAAAATCGACCATCCGTGAGCGAGACCGTTTGGAGATATGGAGGGGAATACGTTCATTGAGCGCCTACTCTTAGCCCAAAGCAATCGACCAATGAATGAATGAACGATGCTACCGCTCACGCTCCTTCACCCACTCTCAGCGAACCTCGCCGCTCTGACGTGCTCATATAGACGTTGTTAGATGCAATGGCGAAGTGAGAATTGATTGTGAGATGCGAAAAAAACGGCCGACGTCCCCTCGCCAGGCTCCCCGAGAGGTAGGGACGTCGTGTGTAGGTGGACGGTAGACGTCGGATGACGTTGTTGAAATTAATGACATCGCTGTTGCCGTAGCCGGTGAGATGTATCGGAAACTGAGCCCAAGCTTGGAAAAAACCGAACGGAAATAAAAAATAAGAGCGCTCTCCCACATAAAAACTGCCAACAGCCCACCACGGTGGCAACGGAGGAGGGGGAGGAGGAGCAGAAACGATGTACCAGCGGCAACTGACAAATTGGTGTTCCCTGGACAGGATTCCAGCAGACTTTCTATCCTCCCTCCACTGTGTTCTACGGTCGTAGACGCCTTAGCGTTGAGGGGTTAAGGGAGGGCAGATGGGTGGGGGGGAGAAGCTGGCTGACTCCCAGACAAGGAGCCTGGGACCCAGACGCGGCAGACGATTTCAGGTGAGCGGGCTAGCGGCTGCACGAACGCCACAGGAGTTCCAAGAGGCTCTTTTCCTTGTTCTCCCCGTTCGTGTCCATTTGCTGCGGTGAGCCACTGACGACGAAGGCGACAGCGGTGGCGTCAGCAGCGAAGGCAATAGCAGCAGAGGCAGCAAGCGGATATCCGACTTCTTTCGGAATCCCTCCGTTGTAAAACAAGTAGTAAAATAAAAACTCACCTGGGCGCTCCTCGAGAGCTGGGCGCGTATGTGTTGTTGGCTCCGAGCGTCTCCATCTTCGAACGGTTGTGGGCCAACACGGTGTTCTTACGAATTTCCAGGGCTCGCAACGTGTCCCGATTTCTGCTAATTCGTCTCAAGTTGTTGAGCATCGGACCTCCTAGAAGAAAATTCAGCAGAATCTCGTAGATTCCACTTAATCTCGTGCTTTCTCCTGTCTGGAGGGTGGAAGCAGACGTCCTCTGGCCTAAACGCGGGGGTCGGATGCTCTTTTCCCCTGTCTGGAGGGTGGGAGCAGACGTCCTGTGGCCTCAACGCGGCGGTTGGATGCTCCTTTCGCTGGCGGGAGTCTCGGGAATTCCCATTTAGTCGGATCGGACTAACAGAGGCTTACCAGGGAAAATATAATACGAGATGAATGTTCCTGTACCGCCCAGACAAAGCAGCTCTCGAAGGAATAGGCAGCGGGTTTTGTACAACAAAGGGAGACGGTTTCTTGGCTTCAATCACAGAGTCTTTTCGCTGAGCCACCGATTGTTCCCCACGAGTCTCCTAAGTCAGCCTCCGGAGTTTCTATCGAGTTGTTTATGCAAACTCATCAAATCGAAAGGTCAGGTAAGCAGCTCACGTAGCTCGCTGTCGGCAGCCTACGTTCGTTTTCAATTGGAAGCTCCCGTTCGCGACTCAACTGGCCCCTGAATCTCCCGCCAACTCCTGCGCACCGGTCGCCTCTGTTTGTTCTCCCCCGCGAGAAGTCGGCGCATTTCAGAGCGAAATCTCGATAAACGCTCCGTCATCAGTCCACCGATCGAAGCCTTCTGAGTCCCTCTTGACAGCCCTCGAAAAAGCTTCTTCGAACCGCCTTGGGGACGTTTTCGAAAGGCCGGTGCGCCGAGTTTTCCGATCGCTTCCGCTCGATCCGCGCGTACAACGATAAATTGGCGGTGGTTGTGGCGTCGACAGCAATATCTTCTGATGATTGTACTCATCTTGTTCCATGTCGCGAGTTGCGCCGCGGCACGCGACGTTATCGCTACTTACCGATGCTCCCATTATTCTGCTGCTCGGCCGATATGCTGAGGAACCGTTTCTGGAAGGCGACGTCCAATGTTCCTGTCTTTGTCCGCTGGTTGCGTCGCTTCTCGAGGTTCTGAATCGTTTTCCGACGCGCCAGGCAGTTGTCACTGCCGTTCTTGTATCCGTCGGACTCGTCGTCAATGCCTGTAAAATCGGATCCGTGTGAACGTGTTCCTGGGATCGGACTCCCGACGGAACATAAGTTCTCGAGAGAACCTTCGAAAAAACAGAGGTGGGTACTGGTTCGACGGCCGGTTTCCTCTATCTGATAAAGAACCTCCGAGCCTTCCACCTATTTTTTCTAAACTGTACTGAGAAGCGCGGTGTTTTTCCCGCTCGGTCTTTTCTCGGATACTCCCAATTCCCAATGAAATTCTCTTGGAGAGCGATCTATCGACATCTCACCTCTCAGTTTCTGCAGCTGCTTAGCGATCTGCACTCCGTTCTTGTCGATGAAAGCATCTCCTGATGCGTCTTCGACCTTCGGGCTGAAGCAGGTGAGCTCGATCGAGGCGAGCATGTGCGATAGGGTCTCGAATCGGTGGAAGCACATGCCCATGAACTGGACGAGGGTGATGATTCCGAAGAAAATGACGAATATCAGTCCTGTTTGTCCGGTAAACATCGATGACGACGTTGAGATGCGAGGGAGAGACGATGAGCAAGACGACCGAGGACGCAGTGAGGGGATACGGAAAAATGAGGGAACGTCACATCAGAGAGAAATCACGGTACTCCGCCGAGAGGAGGAAACGACACGGCGCAATGAAGAACGAATCGATATCCGGACCTGGTGGGCCGTTAGCCTCAATGGCTCCAGAAGGAACGAGAGCAGCCGTCTGTCGGCTCGATCGGTCCACGAAGCGACCGATCGAGCAAGAGCCGGACGGCCGGCCAGCCAGCCACGCAGTCAGACCAGAGAAAGGATTCGTTCCTACACAACAGACGGCTCCTCTGGAGTCTGCTTGCGAAGCGGGCAGGCAGTCAGACGACCAAGTCGCCGCAGTCATCTACGTCTTCGTTTGGAGGGGGCGGTAACCCTCCGAGAAACTGCTCCACGAGCCAAGGCCATGCGGCCCCCAGGAAACTCTGGCTCGGACGAGTCGAGGGGCTTGATAAACTCTTGCTCTTCTGAGTCCATTAAGTTCGATCGGAGCTCGTTCCGCATTGGAAATGAACGAGCATGATCGGCATCTCAGCGTGAGCGGGGGGAAGTCGGTCTCGTGCTTTAACGGCCGCCAATCAGGGCGACAGGCTGGCAGACCGCGGGATTTTCGCCGTTTCGGCCCTGCAATGAGATTGGACCTCTTACCGATCGGTTCCAGTTGGAGATACTCCTTCTCGATGATGACTTGCGAAGTGTCGGGGATGAATGTGATGTTCGTTTTGACTCCTAGAGGCCAATTGATATGCAGCTGTTTCTTGTTCAGCTGCAGAAGGAACACGATCAGGATGAACAGAGCGTTGAACATTATGAAGGCGAACACGACTTTGTTCCGCAGTTCTATGAGATCGCGGGCGATGCGAGCCTGGAAAAGCGAGCGGTGAGCATGGTTCATAGAGAAACCACTGTGGAGATTGGAGATCATCGCTAATCCTATCCAGAGTCGCTCAAAGAGATTTCTCGTACCTGTTGCTCCTTGTTCTCGTCGATGGGGTAGAGATATTTCTTTATCATGTCTTTCCAGAACGTGGTCTCCTGATCGGAAAGAGCTTCAACTTCGCCGTGTTTCAAGCCTTCGTCTTCGATCCAGTACGGATTTCTCAGATCGTCTCGCTTCGGCCGCATATCTGAACAGATGTGAAAGGGACGAAATTTTTATTCCAACGATCAGTAACTCAGCGAAGAGAGCTCTTCGTCGCACACTAATCAAAAGGAGCGAATTCCAAGCGACCCGTGAATTATCCCAAGCTAGGGTGTGCAGTACACATCTTGCTCTCCGATTCCTCTGTCCTTTTCCGTCTTTTGAAATCCCCAAGGATCGACCTCGAATCGATAACCTGAGAAGGTGCTACTGCGGGTTCGCTTCTGACTCGGCGACCGAGCTCAACGATCCGGAGCATCCGATCCGCTCGGTCAGGGAGAAACAGCTTGGGACGAGCCGCCAGACGAAGGCGTGCGTGTAGAAAGCTGGCGAAAGTCTTCAGCCGATGCAAAAATGGCATTCAAAACGAACGTTGCAATTTTTCGCGGGTTCTTGCACATGGCGCTGACGAGAATTTCCTAGTCTGGCGTCGAGGAGCGGAGCGCGCCAAGCAAGGATCCCGCGGATGGATAGAATGTAGAAACTTTCGGGCAAAACTGCTGGTGCTGCTGTGGCGGCAGCGGCTGCAGCTCCTGCTGGTGAAGCACTGAGTCTCTGTTATCTCCTCCGGAAGGTCGCGTTTTTGTGGCACTCGTACGTCCGTCCATAAGTTTGGCCGTTGTTCCCGCGGCGGGTTTGTTCGTCTCTCCATTCTGCGTCCCGAGAGACAGAATTCACGGGTTTGCTCGCGAGTTTGCCCCATCGTATTATCATCATCATCACGATGCAAATTATCGCGGTACGAAGACAGCAATTCAGCTTCCGCCGTAGAGACCTACGAAGGAGCTTCTCCCGGGTGATGTCCCATAATCAAGATATTCCTCGGAGCATACCCTCCAAGGAGCTGAACGCCTCCGTCGAGTCCGGGGAGACCGTACGACGTATTCAAAAACCGTCACCAATTCTCATTCCGGAGATGCACGACCAGACTCTCTACGGTTTCGCACAGATTGCGGCCATGATCCACTCTCGAGAGAAACTTGAGGAATTCGGGGGCGGATTTTCTTCCCGGAGCTACTGTCGTACCGTTTCATTATGGATCGATTTTTTTTAGGAATGAGGACCTAAGGGAGGTATTTGGGGGACTGGAATGGTCACGAGAAACGAGGATCCTGTTTTTCGTTCGGTGTTCGTGTGGAGAGATTATCATCGAGTACCGCTTTGAGGACAGCTCTTGGCCGGAGATGGGGCTTGATACAATTAAGCTGGACGCGAGAGTTAGATTAGTAGCTTTACGGTCTCCTCACTGACCAGGTCCCACCTGCTCAATGTGGCAGCTGATGACACGACTCGACGATTTCAGCCTAATTTCCGACGGCGCGGCGGTCTCAGAAGTTTCAATATGATCTCACTGGATTGGCATTGTAATATTCCGTCCGTAACTGAGATCAACTGCTGCGCTTAGGTTAGAAGCTCGTGCATGGGGTCGGGAAACTCACCTGTCCTCGTCGAATCGGTGTCGGAATGATCGGAGACGTCTGAGAGCTCTCCATCTGATTCGTTGACAACGCTGAGTCCATGGTCGGTAGCACGGCTCGCGCTCCGGCCTGGTCTCGACGACTTTCGCCGGTCGAAAGGAACAATACCGTGTATATGCTCCAGCTGACGCTCCAGGTTATCTGAAACAAGGCATACCGTCAGATGTTTCTGGGCCGCGATGGAAAAACAGTTCCGTCTCGCTCACGCAAATAATTATCCCCCTCCCCCACGCAATGACTTGCGCTCCATTTGCTCGTTCCTTTTGTTTTTCTCTCACTAGCTCTCCACACACGAAGCTCTTCTCGAAGTTGAAGAACAACTCCTTTCTAGATGATGATGGATTCTTTCCGAGGCATCGTTCACCTCGTCTTCCAAGAGTTTTCATAAACTGATTGTGAGCCAGGGCGAGAAGAAAGTTCCCATCGATGGGTTTTATGCAACGATAGCGATAACAGATCAGTTCCTGCGTGACGTCGAACGTCGCTCGAACAGTGATCGCGATGTCCTTCAGAGTTATTTATAACCTCCCCGAATCATGGATGAGCCTCCTGCGAGGCTCGACCCAGCACGAGCTATGCGTCTCTGCGAGCGTTTGACGCATTCGGTTGTCGGTGGAGCGGAGCTTCCGGGACTCGGGGGCGTATATCCGGGGGAAAGCGGAGAGGACGTCCACGGAAGAACGGGGCTCACAATAATCAGTCTACAAAGGAGGTGACCACTCGTTTAAGTGGGATTCACCAGACAGATGACGGCCGTTTCCCCTGCGCGAGAACCTGGAACGTGTCAGGAGGGCCGCGCTTGAAATCGCTAGGGAGTCGCTTACTAGAGTAGATGTCATCTTGTTTTTCCCACCGAGCAACATGCTCGTATGTCACGACAATGGTACGTCGTTCGGTTCGAGGGAGCGGCTGGACTCGAGAACGCCGGCTGAGATTGTTCGCCGTAGTCTTTATGTCGACGTGTATTTTCCGCCGGAATCGGGTATTGCTTTCGGCTACATTCGCCCGAGGGCAAGCATCACCATAAAAAGCGTGAAGGGTTGCGATTCGTTCATTTCGGAAATGCTCCGACGGCTCAACGTCCTGGTCGACTCCGCGCACGAAGAGGAAGAGGTCGCCTGGATGACTGAAATAATACCACAAGCCCATCGTCGAGTTGATCGAGATCGTGCAATCAGATCAAGAGAGAGCTTCAGCGGCAGCGACGACGCGGCCAGACAAAGTGAGGCTTAGAGATGACCCATGGATGGAGCGTGCGTCTCAATTATACTGCCCACTCAGACGACGGTGGAGATGCTTCCCCCGACTTGACGTGGAGCTTGCTTGCGTGCGTGCGAGCGTGCCTGGCCGCGTCCCTGCGCATTTGTCCCGTGGATCCTTTATTCGGCCGGTTGGGTAGACTGACTTACTAGACGACCGCCTGCCTGCCTGGCTCTTCTCTTCTCCTCGTGATTGCACTCCGCCGTTCAATGGTGTATCCCGCAAACTTCTCAGGATTACTGTCGTCCTGCCTAGGGAGGAATTTCCTGCTCTTCCATAGACAGATTCGGCAAAGGAAAGCTGTTCCCAGATGAGCCAGCCGCTTGCTGGCTGACTGACGGTTCGGAATCCCGAAGATCTCTTCGGTGTTGTCGAACTAAAGACTGCTCGTTCCATTCACGGAGAGGCTGTCTCATTTTGCTGCTTCGTGAAGATAAATGTACCTCTTTGCAACCTGGGAAAATCGCAGGATCAGCACAAATGTCCTTCGCTATATGTCTTCCCGAAACCTCCTACCGAAAATACGCCCACCTTCGGACCGAAAGACAGCGCTTGCGTACCCGCAGCAGCGGATCCCGCAAGAAAGAGACTGGGCCTGAGCTCTCGGAACATCGGGACATCGACTTGTCAAAGTCAGCTCGAACCCTTGTATTCTATATTCGGGGTCATAAAGAACCTCCCGGCAAATCACCGTGTATCGGTTTCGCTTGCTCCTTCTTGTGCCCAAGCTGCTCATTGATCGATCGGTCCTCCTCGGTGTGAACGCATGAGGGTCGGACAATGGAGCGAATCCGGACCCGAATCGGAAGTAGTTTTGATAAGTTGTCACAACACCGGGATCCAGACCAGGAACAAAGACTTGATTGATGTCAGAAAAGGAGCGAACAAAAAATTGGTGAACGGAGAGAAAACTCGGAGGAATGGCGACACGAGAGGACAAGGGGTTGGAGGAGCGACATACGGAGTACGTGGCTATCCCGAAAAAAACGAAAAACTCGAGTTAGGAATTTGATTCGACCTCAGTCTGCGGAATCGAATCAGAACTTCCCCAAAAGCACCGGAAGGGTCGGCACTTGTAGACTGAACACGACGACAGCGGAGCGGGAACAGTATCGCTCAATACCTTCAGCAGCTGAGTAAGGCCATCTACTGCTTGAGTAAGAACTTTCGCTTGTTCTCTTGTTTATGATCCGACACGGCGGTCGTGAGGGAGCGCCAACTTCGACTTCTATGATATCGGATTGGCACCTCAGATGACCCTCTTCCCCGAGCTGAGCGACACCGTTCAAGCTCGAGAGCGTCAAAGTCGACGATTCCGCACAGGTTGTCCTTTCCTCGCACCCAGAGGCGATGATCGATTCGAAATTCACGTTTCGAAGCGAGAGAATGTCCGTCACCGGCCATTTCGCGTAATTGCTCATTCAGCTCAGTCCGTTATTAAGGCATCGGTCGGGTTCAATGAGGTGCTGAAAGGAGCTACTCGATAGTCATCGACCGGAGGTGTCGCACAGTCGAAATTGACAATGAGGGAAAAAAGAATTTACGGCTGGCTGGATGACTGGTCAGCCGTCGGCTCGGCAGGCTATCTCGCTGACGGACTCAAGGGACGGCGCGAGCGCCAGCCGTCGGCGTCGTTGCTCCTTCGGGTTGGGTGAGCGATCGAGGAAGGAAAGATGGGCATGAGCCTTAAGGGCATTAGGGGGCCTTAAGCCCGGGTCCGCTCCCACCGATATCATTATCATCTTTGCTCTCGAATGTCGGTCGGTCGCCGCTATTGTGATCCTCGGGGCCGCGGCTTTTTTGTAGGTAGCTCAGGCCCCCTGTACATTCTCCCCGTGGGTGCCGCGAAATCCGTAAATAAACTCTCGACATCAGAATCGAGGATTCAGCTAACAGAACTTTCCGATTCGGGGACAAATAGGCGAGCAGAAGACCGCAGGAGAATGGATACAAAATTTTTGGCCTGCCGATGCGGGTTTGATGAGATTCTCGTTGTGAGCAAATGTTGTCGAAGATTCATCAGCGTATGACTGTAGTTTGGTCTTGTTCGTACGAACCCATCAGATGGACAGATGAGTCACCGACAAAGAAGGCGAAAGCTGGCAAGAATGCAGGACGAACAGGAACCTCTCGCTGTGACGTCTGCGAGAAACGTCGACGTCAGAGAAATAGAAGCTCAATCGCATCAAGCTCCGAATACTTGTTGGGAGGTCGCGGTCGCTCCTACAATCACCAATAGCTTGCGCCTTGGATGGGAAAGATGGAGCTTTCGAATCCACAGTGGCTGTCGGCTTCGGGAGAATGGTCGAGGAAGGGGTGGCGCGGCGTCGGTTCGAGGAATGAACCCGATGTGTGGAAGAATCGCTGGGATACACTCATGTGCTCGCGTTTTGGAAGCGGGCATCGAGAGCGAATAGCCGCCTGGAGCGGCCCGAGTCCAGCATGGGGAGAATCAGGTGAGGCGCGCGGCGACCATGTACCTAATCTAGTCTGCGAGCTATCGCGTTGAGCTCCCTGGTTGAATTATCGGCTCCGCAAGTCGCTTCTATCACTGGGCGTCATTAAGATCCGAAACTTGGCGAGTCCTCAGACGGAGCAGCACGTGCTTGAGCGAGTGTAACCTCAATTCTCCCACGTTCATTGACGGAAAACGTACGCATCTTGCTCCGGTCACGCAACGTAGAGCTCGTGTTCGCAGAAAGCTCTGTCGGAGCAGAGCAAAACAGCTGGCTCAGGCCGTCATCGCACAGTGACTCTCTTCTTCTCCGATCTACTTAAAGCGAACACGCAAGCGAAAAAAATAATAATCTGGACAGTGATGACAAGAGAACCCTGAAGCCTGAGCAATGGACATACAGCGAGAACCAGGAGCTTGTCATCCTGGTTCAAGCGATCCTGGTTCTTGCCGCGACCGAGTGTACCGAAGGAGGTGAGCTCGACACCATCGGAGCATCAGGAAACGCACATAGGACTCAAATCTCCCAGAATTTCACCGATCGCCCCTGCGATGGCCCCGGTGGCCAGGGCTGAAGGACCGATCCAGTCAAGCAAGCAACGAAACAGGCAGATCCTCTTATCGTTCGATCCATCTCGAGAACCGTCTTCACGGCGAGAGCAATTCTATGCTGAGCCAGGCTCTACAGGCTCCGTTGATCTTATTCGTGTCGGTTTCCGAATCTGATCCGTCCCGGGACTCGTTTTGGAAATTTCCCGCCCAACTGGGGCGAACGTATAGATGAAGAAAGAGCTTGCGAGCAGCGAGAACGTCATGAAAAGACGTTCGGATCGATTCCGGAATTTCTTCTGATCCGGAGTTCAGGCAAAGCGAGGAGAACTCTGTAGAGACGTCAATCAACACTCGTCGGTCACAAGAGGAATCATTCCTTGAGAAGATTGATTAGCTACGATGAGAATGAGCTCACGACGCCGACGTGCCGATAATGAGCTCGACTCTCTAACCGAGAGCGCCGTTCCATGAGCCGAGAAATCCCTCAAAGCACTGAGCTCCGTCACGGATTGCGCACACGTCTGTCTCCGAGAGTTTTATACGTGGATACACGAAGCTCCGCGAGTAAATTCAACGTTGGCGCGGCTCGCGCTGGCCGGTCAGAAACCGGTTCAGGTGACCTGGTTCTCCGCGGGTGGGGAACCGGAATAATGAGGGGGTGAGACACGATTCGAAAAAGAACGTTTGACGATTGAAGAGGCGAAAAAATTTCACTCTGGGAACAATCCCTTGATTACCTAGGTGTATTCCTGCAGCCCATGAGGGCGCATCCCTCTTATTCCGAGTTTGCAGTTGACACGTCAAAGGGGGCGAAGGAAATGCACTTTCCAGCCCTTCCCGCAAGTTAAGCACATCGCTTCCGAAGGGGGCCGCATTCCGGGGCAACCACATTTTCGAAGAGAGTCCTCTCGAAACATCGATGGGCTTGAACTGAGGCAACGATCCTCTGAGGCGCAAAGTGACGCTCGCACGTGTCTGTTATTTAGAATCGGAGCTCGCTGACTCCGTGCTGCTATTCTTTCCCGAGCCTCTTCTTTGTGTAGATACATCTGCTCTCCCGAGGTTCATCATAGAATTCAGTCGGCGCCATCATCCATGCGAGGCAAATTGCCTCACTCCAACGCAGAGATTCTGCGGCCAATATGGGGAAGCCGAGCTGCCGCATCTCTGAGCGGCGGCTTCAGCCTCTTCCTCTTCCCCGGTCGCTCCTCAACTGCCTTTCTCTTTTCGAGCCGCAGTCAATTTGCTCAATGTGCGCGTGATTTACTCCGCCTCCCACGGAGTTTGTGAGAGTCGTTGTGTTTCAAAAACGAATCCGCCTCCGGAACTTCTCTTGGAGGGATGTTCCCTTGAGAAGGAATGATGACGCTTAAGAGGGTCGTTCAGGAATTCGCTCACGAACATTTCGAATCGGTCGGTCTACAGCCTGACCAAATAAAACGGACTCCTGGGGAACTTGGATCTCCTCTTTAGATCCTCTCTGAGAAGTGAATCCTCCTTCCAGCGCTGGACGCGGGGAAACAACCCCCTCTTGATGGGAGCGTTCAGATTTTGACCTACTGGAACTTGTCCAGAACAATCGTAGAACACTCATCGAGCGATGGGAGCAGCTGTCAGAATTGTCAGTGGGGTTAGCGACGTCCAGCCAGAAACGAGATCTTCTCGCATATAAATCGGTCCTCGGCGGAATAAGCGTGGATCGGAAGTGAGGGCTCTGAGGAAGCTCGCATTAGTTTTCAGCATTGGCACTGATACGACGGGCGACGGGGCGGTGTTTGCAACACTGAATACGTGAACTACGACTCGGGATGGAATGCGAAGTTCCGGTGCACAGACTCGGAGCCTCCACCGGAGTTCAAGTGAGGTTCTGACTTCAATCCCCGTTCTTTCGGAATTTTCAGATATTTCGGAAAGGCCCACAACCGTCGTTTCTGACGAGGAAAAGCGAGGCAAGACCCGACGACGCTAATTAAAAATGCAACTCGAGAACCCCAGTCGCCGACTATACACTGCATTCGGGCCTAGCCAATGAGTTACTTACGGAGCTTTTTCCCGAACGTGTGCAGCGATTCGCCTATGCTGGCTAGTTGTAATTTTTCTTCTTGGTTTCGGGGATTCGAACAGATCATACAGGTGAAGAGATTCGAGATTCCGAAAACGCCGCCCTCGTCATCGTTGAGGTCGAAGAGCCCGAGTAGTTTTCGGTTCTTCTTCAGCTTCATTTCCTCTTCGAGAGCTTTCCTGGAATTCGATAATGAGAGAGCGCTTAGGTTTCTGCAGCACAGGAGTGAAACCGGAGTTCTCGGAAAGCTCATGTCTTTGTTCAGCTCTCCCGGAAATCGAGTTGTATGACAATAATGATTCATGAGCCCCCGAGATCCCCTTGCATCGATCAGCGAACGTTCTATCGGAACGCTCGAGTGGTTGGATCAGAGTCACGAAGGACGGAGCTTTGTCGTCGGATCGCATCGTCCTTCCCAACGTCATAAACCTATCGATCAAGCTACCGGCGATGGCTCTGACTCGAAAGTTCAGACGCTGCGAGGAAGGAGAGAAAAAATGAAAGAGGAAAATCCAATCAGGGCCCCCGGTAAAGTTTTCGCCGGATTTCCGGGAAAGGCTCCAGGACTTCGAGGGCGACATTGGCCTTCTCGTTCCGGTCTTCTAGCCGGCGTCTTCGACCGTTCGCTTCCTCTCCAGTACAAACCCGCCCTAGCCACTTACTTAGTTAGACAACGCAGGCGACTGAAGCGACGGCGAAAACCAAGAAGCGAAAAGGAACGTGCACGGCATACTATGCGTTCGCTTTACCGAGTACGAGGGAAGTCGCCGCCGAGTCACGAGCAAAGTTCCAACTCAGAGCTCATGGAAGTTGATTGCGAACTTTAAAGAAGCAATCTATTCGGATCCCGGAGTCTTTAGACGCGACAATTCTGAGTAGTCGCGTGGACATCGGCCAGGTCGCCCGCGAGATCAGATACGGAGCCTCAGAGTTAGGCAGTGTCTCTGCGTTTTCATTCCGAAGAGGTTCTCTGGTTTTCGACGCTGTTCCCTCTGACCGAGTAATACGGAGAATCATAGATCTCAAGTGACACCAGAGAATGAGATTCGAGTGTCGACAAAGTGGGTGATCCGAGAAGGACTGGATCGAGGACAACGCCGACACGTGGGGATTAGTCTCTACTGAGTGAGCTCTAGTCCCGATTCCTGACCGGGAGAGGGACGAGATCTAGGGAGAACATGAAATTCAAGGGGAAATTTCATGTTCTCAAACCTGCCAAGATAACTTCGGACGACTCTGTCACGACGATGACGCCGTGAGACCACTCAACTTCGCTTGTTCGATCTCGGGAGAGTAGATCGAAGAAGAATGACAGACTCGAGGATATCGATGCTGTACAGGACATTCCCGAGCTGTGTTTTCTCGGCGGAAATAGGGAGCCCCCAATTACAGAGAGCTTCCGAATTCGTCATGGAGCCGAATGAGAATTTCGGACCACCTTACAAGAGGCGGCGGCGGCAAGCCTTCTTGGCGGCAAGAAATTCATTCAGTCAGTCGATTGTTCCGCAGCCTTCCCGGCGCTTCCGACAAAGTCTAAGCAATGGGAACCCTCGTTTCCGGAGCGTATAGATTATTCGATGCCGGGCCCAGCTATCCAATGAGTCGTTCGCAGTAAACGAATCGTCTTTTTCTCACTCACCTCTCTTCCTCCAGTTCCTTCTGAGTCTTCTTCTGGATGGTTTCTCGGGTTCCCCAAGCAACTACGTTCAAGTTGATGAGGGAATACAGGATCAGCAGCAAGTACATCGACGGGATCGACATCAGATAGATAAATCCAGGTATCACGCATGAGAATTCCTGAAATAATGCATGGCAATTTTCGATCGATCTCGGCTCTTGGATAAATATGCACGGAACAGCTACCCAACGACATTCCCTCGCCTCGCATATGGAAACATCAGCAACGGCGAACAACCGCAGAAATAGCAAACATGCATTGAATAGAACAGTTATAGCGTATTAGCAGAAACATGACTCTCGCGAATGGCTCTCTCCACATATTCGACTTTGGTACATAGCCGAGCGAGACCTGGACTATTTACATGGTCATCTCCGGTCGGCCGTTTTCTGCGCGGCCGGCGACCCCGTTCCCCCTCGGGCACTCGCTGCCCACCCGCGTGTGTGTGCTAGCTTCTATACATTCTGACATTACGTCGGAGCTAGCCGACAAGACCAGCCTCTATTAGCAAGTGGCCGAAGAGGGCACGGATCCTCGCAAGCTAAGCCGCATTCCCACCAAAAGTAACTGACAGGGTCGATGGACCGACCCTGTGAGTATACCCACATTATCACCCATCTCGGCTCCTTGGTGCCCTGGTTGGTATGTCCAGGTCATCCGTTAGGGAAAATCGTCAGGAATCGAGCCGAGCCCGCAGAGTGGTCAGATCGCATCGAGCCCCCCCTTTGCCCCCCGGCCCCGTGACACCTCCGGGCGGCGTCCTTATAGCACGAAAATCGTTCGGAGTGTCATACCCTAGGCGACGGGATTTTACGAATAGGATTGTACTGGAGAGACTTTACGAACAGGATTCTAGTGAAAGGATTCTACGACTTGGGACTCTATCCGATGATCCGGTACTCTACTTAGGTAGGGGCGCGACCTGGGCGAGGGGATAAAACGATAGTACTCCTCGACTGAGGACTTCTCCAGTCAGGAAAAATGGGGACTTCCCGACCGCCTTCGCTCCGTTTGCTCTGAAGGCCTCGGGCCTACTCGCACATTCGGGCGAATCCGTTGAGAGGGCCGGTCCCCGCCAAAGCGGTTGGTCGACAATCTGTGCCTTGGGCTGCCCATCGCCTTGAATGAGTAGCCGAAGCGCTTGCCCCTCACATCGATGGTTTCCGGCAATCATCCAATTGTTCACTCATTTGTCCTTGATCAATAATCCGACTGGAGAACATGTCGATGAAATCTCACCAGATACAGCGCAGAACTGAGGCTGACCCGATGATGATGTTCTCATAACATCTCATCACCCTCAGAGCACGGATAAGCATCGGTCTATCAGAAGGGAGGTACTTATCAAATCAGAGTGTCTCGATGAACTCTACAAGCTCGAGGTATGTATCTCATTCGGGGACCCTGGGGACTACAATGATTATTTTCTGCTCCAAAGGAAATGAACATTCTGTCAGGGAAGTCGATACGTCATTATCTGTCCGCATGCTAGCTCGCCTATGGTAATGGCTGGAATATATGCGAATGGGATTGAGCACTCAGTCAGGCGTTTATCGCAATGGGGGGAGCTATTTCTACGCCGATCGCGGGTGGAGTCGAGTATCACTTTCGACTGTCTATCTCTTGTTGATGCACTCCTTCCAGTGGTGGGCTGCGTGACATGGACCTTATGTGCGGCGCTCGCAAAACGCGTGCGAACAAGGCAGTCTCTCCAAGCGAAACAGTAATGTTTGGACTTATCTCAAGAGGAAACACTCAAAAATAGCTAGCTTATACAGGAGCTGACGCTCGCGGTAGTCGGCGATGTTGTAGGACAGATGCGGGGGCTCGGAGATTACCGCGAGGAGCGCGAGAGAGAGCGCTCAGAGCTTCCATGGAGTATGGGAAAGGAATGCGCGAACGTCAAGTCGGAATCGCAGCCGAGTGCGTGACAAGCGAATTGGGGATGCCGCCCAGAGTATAGATTCGGGAGAGACGACGAAGAGAAAGGTAGAACGGATGATGAGGACATGCTCGACGCACGGCAGGAGCTGCGAACTCAATCTGAGCAGGATTCCAAATGCCCCACGGATGGGAATGCAAGAAAGCAAATCAACGACAAGGAACAGGAGGGGCTCGAGGGATAATTAAAGGAAAGATTGGAGAACGGAGGGTAGGCTGTGGAGTATGGGGACGACCGTACAGGACGACGGGAAGTAATCGAGAAATGCCGAACAATGGTAGAAGGGAGTATCTCAGACAAGGAAACCAAAAGGATGGAGACACGGAAAAAATGCTGAGCATCAGGAGTCGACGACCAGAACGAACAGGATGGCAAAGCTAAAAAGGGAGTACCCGCAATCGTTTTCTGATGTTCGTCTGCTCCGTTGCGGAAAAGTCTTCTCCATCCGCCGTTGTCTCCCTTATTCGCGCTCTTGCTCGCAGGCAGCCTGCACAGCCGTCTACCCGTCCCGCTTCCCGTCAGTCGCTCTCCACGGCAGCAGCGCCGGAGCAGCTTCTGCGTCGCCCGCTCGGTCGAGTGTAGATGGGACTCTATGCAAATTGAGCCATCAGAGCACTCAATCGCCCGTTTTTCCTCTTTCTATTTTCCTCTATCTTCCACATGCTCAGCTCCCCCCGCGACTACCTGCGAAGCAGGCACAGAGGATGGGCCAGCAAGAGATCCAGAACTAGAATGGAGGCGAGGGCATCCCCAGGGGTAGTCAGACGCGAGGGAGAATTGCCCGAAGCCGAACTTCAAATCTTGGGTTCGTTGTATCCTATCGTCCGTCCCTGTACACACCGTCGGACTATTTAACTGAGACACCCCACAAACATCTTGCGGTGCTTACTCGCCCAGCTCGAAGCACCAATCCACCAATATCCATGGAACCGAATCCGGCGACGAATCGTGTACGACCTCGGTGACAACACTGGAGGATAAATCTCTGGCATTTCAAAACACGTCTGTCGTCCGGACGCCCGCCAATGGAAAACCGTTCATTACTACGGATGCGGTGGGGATCGGCCACACAGGCCATGGCCGCGATGGAGCCTTTCCGAGATGCTTGCTCTTTCATGCCACTATCGCTGGATAGAGGGATACAAGCAACCGGACGAGCGGAGACTGAGTCTCTCCGATAGCATTCGATTGAATGAAGGCTATTTTTGTGCACCGTAGGCTTTGTCACGGATGTGCTACCGCGGCCACAGCAAATGCTCTGCGGTTCTGCAGTTCGTCATCCTTCTCTGCTCGCTCCCTTTCTTGCTTTCTTCCACTCTCGTCTTCCGATCATAGTATATGCTGTGTCGTCGCCATATGACGGACTGGAACCTTCGCGCGAGCCCGTTCACTATGTCGCGAGTATGCTTGCTACAGCTTCAAGCGGTCTCTTGGCAGCATCGGAGATCCCGTGATTCATTTCGTCATACCGTCAGGCGACAAATGTCCTTCAGGTGAAAACCCCCGCTTGAGTTCTGTCAAGACTGAACGAAACGACTCCTCGGACTTCCGGTGACACCTCCGCCGACTCGCTTCCTTCTTTTGGGCGTCCGCGACTTGTTCACCGGAGGAATCAAGTGGACACCTGCTCCGGAGACGGGATACGCTGATATGCACTAAAGATCGTTCGCAACGATATCTGTCGAAGATGTCGAAGAATCAGTACTCACCTGAGGATGCATCAATGCTGCCACTACCATCGACCCTGATAAGGACAAGAGGAATATTGCGGAGGGTGATCCAGCCCCGTCCTCTGCAATTTGTATCGCCGTTCCCACCAGGACTGCCATCATCAGGAGTGCGTATCCAGCGGATAGTATTTGCGCCACCAGGATCTTCGGATCGGAGAGAAAATTTAGGGTTTGCTCAGAGGTTTTCGGGGTATTCGGATATGAAATCGTCAATCCTCGAACGAGTTCGTGTTTTTGATAGATAGTTAAATATGGTGTAGGTAGGTTTTCAGTGGCTCAGCATCTTACGCTTTGCGCGAGATTTTCTACCGACCTGTATGTCATTCTTAGTTGTGAAACAGATGATCATGAAGAAGAGGATTGGGATAATGTTGTAATAGAAGGAATCCCAGTTCGATATCCTGAAGGAGGCGACCATAGCTCCCACCAACATGAGGAATATAGTTCCGGGTCCGAGGACTGTACCAACCATCAACATGGATTGATAAATGATATAGGGGAGTGATATGTTGTCATTTATAGCGACGGTTCGTTTATAGTCACCTGGAATCCGGAATAAATTAATTGAGCCCTCAAATTGTTCGAGCATTGATCTCGAGATGAAGGGCCGGCAGTGTAAATTGGCGGGGCCCCGCTATCGTTGGGGAATTATATGCTCGTTGAAGCCAGATTCAGCGAACTTTTCTCCCCTAATCCTGCTTCTATCTCAGTATGTTTTCTGATTGAATTCAACCCTCCGGAATGTCTCCAATCCGAAACCCGCAGCCGCGCTTCGGACTTAAGCTCCGTGCGAGATTCTGTGGAGAGGGAGAAGATTGGAGCGCTTTTGAATCGCGCGCTTCCGGAATCGTCCCCGACACCCGCCATTTTCGACCTGTGTCTAGTGTTGTTCCATCCAAGCTCCCTTATTTGGCTTGAGCCGCCAACAACCGCGTGGTTGACTCCCATTTCGGATAGACTGTGTTTTTCTGATCTCCAGTGAACTAAGAATTCCCTCGAAGTTTCACCATGGCTGCTCTAACAGGATTGAATTCCAAGGCTGAGGTGGCCAGGTCGCACACTGCCATGGCTGTCAACATCAACGCCGCTCGTGCGCTCCAAGACATTTTGAAAACGAACTTGGGTCCGAAAGGAACGATGAAAATGCTCGTTTCCGGTGCTGGTGACATCAAGATTACCAAGGACGGGAACGTCCTTCTGCACGAGATGCAAATTCAATCACCGACCGCCTCTCTGATCGCTCGTGCTTCGACAGCTCAGAACGATATTACCGGCGACGGTACAACTTCGACTGTGCTGCTCATCGGAGAGCTCTTGAAGCAAGCCCAACTCATTATTCAGGAAGGTCTCCATCCCCGGGTGATAACCGAAGGATTCGATCTGGCCCAAGCCAAGGCGTTTGAAGTTCTCGATCAAATGAAGCTCGATATCCCAATCAATCGCGACACTTTGATCCAGGTTGCCAGAACCTCGCTGTCGACGAAAGTTTATAATGAGTTGGCCAGCCTTCTCACCGATGTCTGCGTGGATTCTGTGCTGACGATCAAGAAGGACAACGAGCCCTTGAATCTCCACATGGTCGAAATCATGGAAATGCAGCATAAAACCCACAAGGATACGAAGTTGATCAAGGGTCTGGTTTTGGACCACGGGGCAAGACATCCCGACATGCCCAAAGTCGTGAAGAACGCCTACATTCTCGCCGTTAACGTGTCCATGGAATACGAGAAAACCGAAGTCAACGCCGGTTTCTTCTATAAGACGGCCGAGGAGCGCGAGAAGCTCGTTCAGGCAGAGCGCGAATTCATCGAGAATCGCGTGAGGAAAGTCATCGAACTCAAGAAGCAAGTGTGCGGCAATGACAAAGAGAAAGGTTTTGTCCTGATCAACCAGCAAGGCATCGATCCCATGTCCCTTGACCTGCTCGCGAAGGAAGGCATCATGGCGCTGCGTCGGGCTAAACGACGTAACATGGAACGCTTGGGCTTGGCCACCGGCTCGGTTGCGTTGAACTCCGTCGACAATCTCACCCCGGACGTTCTCGGCTACGCAGGGCTCGTCTACGAGCATGTTCTCGGAGAGAACAAGTACACTTTCGTGGAGGAACTCAAAAATCCCAAGAGTGTCACTATTCTCATCAAGGGCCCAAACAAGCACACCATAACCCAGATCAAAGACGCTATCCACGATGGATTGCGCGCCGTCAAAAACGCTATCGACGACGGATGCGTCGTTGCAGGAGCGGGTGCCTTCGAGATCGCCGCTCATTACGCCCTGATGGAATACGAGAAAGAAGTCAAAGGCCGAGCCGTGTTCGGCGTCCGAGCGTTCGCCGAAGCCCTGCTAATCGTCGTGAAAACCCTCGCGGTGAACTCCGGCTTGGATCCGCAAGATACCTTGGTCAAGCTCCGCGAGCAATACCACCGACTCCGGCCTCAGCCTGTCGGTCTGAACCTGAACACCGGCGAACCTTGCGACCCTGTGGCCGACGGCATTCTGGATAATTACTGCGTCCACCGCCAGCTAATCTCAGCGTGTACCGTGATTGCCACCAACCTTTTGCTCGTGGACGAGATAATGTTTGCTGGCGTACAACAGAAAAAGTAATAGCGATGCAGATCGCTGTTGTGCTCTTACCCGCTAATTTATGCCTAATAAAAAATCTCCCGCACATGCAAAAAAATCTCCTTCTCCCTACAGCTCTTTCTATTCATCCCAAAAGGATTCAGGGCTGATGCTATCGGCGGAAATTGATACGCCCTGGATACGCGGATTACTCCGAAGCTTCCCTTGTTTTTCTGTTCCAAGTTTCCATCCGGGGTTCGCCTCTCTGCACCTTCCGTGGGGGGTGAAAAAAATACTCACCGAGCAGATCCATAATATTAGCCATCGTCGAAGGAGCCCATCGTCTTCTCTGGGTGTAGAATTCTCCGAACCCTTCGGGGCAATGGGTGTAGGCATCGGAAGCAGCTGAATATTCTACTCGGTAACCTCTCTGGAGCAGAAGCGTGCACAGCCAACGATCTTCGCCTTGATCGTACTGAACATAATGCAGAGCTTCGGTAGCTTCCGTGGTGTATTTCTTCATGACGTTGTCGTCCATCAATGCCTTCGCTCGGAAAAGCGAAAAACAACCAGGACTGCAGAGTACGCAGCCGATCATGTGCTCGGTAGCTTTTTGCAGCCAATGACCAATCGCGTACTCGAATTTCTGGTACCAAGCCATAGGTCCTGCAAGTGGAAAATCTTTAGTATCCACTCATAAGTCACCTTGATGCGCTTCCTCTCCTGCCTATTTTATTTCGTGAGCGTGACCCCGCACGCTAGGCACGACTCAGACGTGACCGCGAGCTCTGCCGGCATCTAAGTCGTCCTGTGAACGGCGCACCGCCTCGCTCAGAACTTGCGTTTAGATTTCTCTTCAACGCCATAGCTGTGACAAAGGATAGGGGTTATGGCGATCCGCTCGACGTGATTGGAGTTCAGGATGTGTCGATAGGTCGCCTCCGCTGTCGAAACGTCGATATATCCGAGAGCTCGTAGCGTCGACATCATCTGGACACGAGCGCGGCATGCCGGAGCGACCCCCCCCCCC